AAATATCAATCACAATAACATATCTTATTTCTTAACACTCAGTTAACAACTTCAAGGCAGCAAGAACCCACAAATAAGAGCCTGGAACTAGCAAAGATTTGGCACATTTGCTTGAAAAACAACTCAAATCATAAATCAGTTACCAACAGATGAATTCATTTGATCAGCTCTACAGTCTCTCTGCAGTCTCCATGCTTGCTCTACTAAGTAGCATCAGCCTGCTTCTGGCTATAAACCGTTACACTGCCTCAGTCATCTCGGGACACCACAGGAGTTTCGGTGCAAAGCAAAGTGAAATTCTACAGATCAGTCACTTCCGTTCAATAATCACTCAGCTGAAGGCATTCGAAGACTACGTTTACATGCACACGAGAGAAAGCCGGGTGATTGGGGAGGGATATCAGGTTGAAGCAGGAAGTCGGAGGACACGTGTACGTGCGCGCCGCCTCACCCCGATAACTTTCAAACATTTACGCGCAGCTGGTCAGTAATCAGATTTCGCTGCCTCGACCTGTTCGAACTAATGCGGGAAGATTATTTTCAGTGCGTTAGCGGCAAACGAAGCCGCGGTTTGAGATGTGTTGGTGCAGATCGGATTTAATTATTCTGAACACATGCAGAAGCTCCGAATTTTGATCATTTCTTTCATCCCACTGACCTAAAATGTCAAGTTTTCAGAGTACAAAAAAGGGGAGGGGGGAGGCTGGAACACACTGCTTCATTCACAGCCTTTCACTGTGCAGCGCTGTCTCAATGTCAAGTCTTTGTCGTGCACTTGCATGCCCGTTAAATTAAATCTGTTAAAACGCTGGCTGAGAGTAAACAAGTTCAAAAAACATTGTTTTTTTGTTTTTTTGCTGCAAGCGGTGTTGGCCTGGTTTTATTTCCCTTGATTAACCCTGTGAACCCAAAGCGGTTTCTGGGCTTTTTTTATGCTCCCGTCATATTTTTACTCACTGCGTGCCCATTTCTTACCGCAATATAAAGTCCTACATCTCTATGGAAACAGCACAGCCATGGCTAGAAGTAGAGAGAACTTAATCATGTCATTTGTGCTGTATGACAAACTTGTAATGCCGTTATTATATAAAAAGCAAAAACTTAAATTGAATTTCTTGATAATATAATTAACAAAAATTGAGAAAAAACTTGAATCAGCAGCTACAACATTGTTCCAAGTTTATCATCGCTACAAACTAAACTTTTTAATTACTCTGTACATCAACTCTAGAAAGATATTTCACCATGCTGAATGTATCTTTCAACAGTTTGCTCCACTGATTTGAGGCACGCTGTAGCGACTGCAACTGTTGGTAAAACTCACTCATGGCTTCTCGGTTGCACTGAGGAGCCCAGAATTTTTTTAATTTTATTTCATGTTTTCTTTTCTTTTTTTTCACAAGACAGGGTGTAAATGGCTTTTGGCGAAATTCTAAATTGGATTTAATATCTCAATTTTAAGCTTAGATTTGGTGAATTTTCCCAACACAAAGGCACGGATGATTAGTTCAAGAACCGCTGTAAAGTTAAAAACCGACCATTCTTTCTGTTTTTTTACAACTTCTGCCCATGATTTTAAAATTAACACGCCTTTCGAAGCCTTTGGTTTTAGGGTTCCAGTTACTCAAACGGATTAAAATCAATCGTTTTGCTTTAATCTGGTTTAGTTCAGTGGCACAAATCGGTCAAGAATTGTACTAATGCCACAATGGAAACTATGAATGTGATGGTAGAGGGGCCGTGCATGACGCCAGCAGACTCTTGTTTTACTAAAATTCAGCTAGAATCCTTTTTAATTAGTTGTTTCCACTGTCACATGTTGATTAAGTTATTTCAGATCGGCATTCCAGAAAAAGTTTGAGAACCTTGCCTTAAGTCTAGACTATTTGTAAACTGTGCAGAGGACGCGCATCGCTTCAACACATCCTACAACTGTGGGTATGTGCACGTTCCACGCAGGCACACTAGAAAACGTGATGGTGATCTCCTGACGGCAAGAAGAAGAAGAGCTCCTTTGTTGTATTTGGCTGAACACCATGAAAAAGTCAAAGGAAAAAAAAAAAAAGAAAGAAAGAAAGAAGAAGACACTGATTTGTGTGACCAGGCTGCAAGGAAGAGGACTTGGATAGCCGACAAGATTTATGCATCGTAGACTTTTGCAGCCAAGAGGACGCAGAAACCGAAGACTGTGATTTATATTTTCTTGCATGCAACATTAACATCTTGATGAAATGCAATCCGTTGTAGTTTTTCTTTATCAATTGGTCTTTAAAGCTGCTAAAAACTTTCTTTAGAACATTAAATATTAACCAACTTTAAAAGAAATGCTGATTATTCAAGGACTCAAGCGGTCAGGGACTGTAAGAGTGGATGTTTTTTTTTTTATGGTGGATATCTTATGTCTTTCGAAATACTTCGTTTCACACTAGATATTCTAATAGAAGTACAGATTTTACTGGATTTGTGAGTGGAGACGATGTTCAAGAGAAAAACAGGTCGGTGTGCATGTGTGGGTTAGAAGAAAACCTGGCTCCAGTCCGAACTGTGCAGAACACAGCTCCCGGTCATTTTTCTATTATTCATGGAAATCCCTGTGCAGCCAGTCAATATGGATTGTTCTGTTGCACTCACCATTATGTCCCCTTTGCACTCGTACAGACAATGGTGGGCTAACTCCTGGTTGGTGCCTCCTCCACACAAAACGCTGGAGCAGGCCAGGTGCATGAGGTCTTCCACTGAAAGAGACAGCGAGCAGCGATGACAAAGTAATTCTTAATAATTGCATGCAGTGATGGAGATTTCTCTAAAGTTTTGTAGCGAAAGAATGAAAACGTTTCATCAGAAGATAAATTATCAAACTGATATAAACGCTCTGATCTGTAAAACTCCCTGTTATCAGAGCCACATACTGCAAAACTGGAAGGATTTTCAACTTTCCAGTGGGGAAACTGGCCCAATTTTAGGCTTTAAAAAAATCATGATTCCATCAAAATCACTTTAGTCTACATGCCCAATTTAAAACCACCCAAAAAAACAGTTTTGATGAGTCAGTTTCTGTAAAAAATCAAATAAAAATGTGGTCCTCGGCACACCCATGAAGCCATTAGTGACTCAGATGCAACCACCAGTTATGTGAGAAAAATTCAGGGACTTTTCATCTAAACTGAGCTGCACTGCAGGCTGTGTTTACACAGACAGGAGACAAGTATGGAAACAAATTATTCAGATCATCTCTAGCATGTAGAGTCACCATTTTTTCCAGCACTGGTAATCCCTGTGGACACTTGGAAAATGTTGCATCTTTTGATTATAAGTTTTGTACAATAAATAACCAAAGAAACGGAACTACAGTCTTTGCATTTTTATGATTTATGGTATTATAACTTTGTGAACAGAAACCATTTATGAATTCTAGTCACTTCTAGCCATGGTTGTGCTGTTTCTATAGAAGCGCAGGACTTTATACTGCAGTGAAAAAATGAACCCACTGTGAAAAAAAAAAAACAAGCACGTAAACAGGTAAGAATCTGAAGAAAACAACATAAAAATGTTTCTGTATTTCACTACAACGAAACGGCAGACTATCATCTTAGACAATAAAACCAAAAATCAGACTTTTTTCTTGGTAGCTTACACAGAAAAACAACATTTATCATAAAATATTTATGTAAATTCCAAAGTGCAGAATATAGTTTTTACAGAAACTAGCAGATACTCCCTTTAATTCATCAAAAACGCCACAAAAAATTCTAATAAAAACACATGAACAAATAATGATAATGCTGCACCATCAATCTGTCTGCATGTATTTGTGTTTTCAGTTTCAGTTTGATGTAATACTTTTGAATTACTGCGTCGGGCTGAGTTTCTTACCTTTCTCGTGGAAGTCAGGTTTTTCCTCCATTTCGCTCAGCGGAGCCCAGACCAGATCGGCACGATGATGATCCAGCTCGACAGCTGTCCGCAGCCTCAGCTCTGGCACCTCCGCCTGGTACCGTGACCCAATATTTATCCGTCTGGGAACAGGACATCAGCGTTAGCCACAATGCTGGAGACCAGTCAGGCTGAATCGAATTTATTCAAAATCCATCAAGTGTCTTTGCATTTAAAGCACATTTATTTACCGTTAAATATTTCAGCCATTTACTGTATGGATATCGAGTTTCGTTTTCGAGTAAAGCCCTTGTGTTATTTCTGAGATCATATTTTTATTTCCCTGCTTCCCTTCCTGCCATGTTCTTTAAATAGGCACAGAGAAATTGTTGAGGCACTCGGGTTCTGAGCACTGCAATTCTTGGACTGTTAGGAGATGAAGCATGTTACACAGCTCCCTTGTGTTCTCTGCGTAATGAACAAAATGCAAATATCTGCTTCAAAATGTGTTATTTAAACTAAACGCTCTACTTGAATGGACTGAACTGTCAGCAAATGGATGACCAAAATGTTTTTCGGTCAAGTGGGTAATAATTTAGCAAATCATAGATACGATTCTCTAAAAAAGTTTTATGAGCTAATGAAAACCAGACATTTTAATGCTATGATTGTGAAAACGATGGTGTAAGCAGATTGTTCAAGGGTATCCCCTCCCTCGCCTGCATTTCCTGCAGTATTTCCAGCTGAGTGTGCGTGGATTCGAGCAGCCTCCCCTCCAGGGAAGGTGGGCTGCTAAACGTTAAACTGCGATGGCTCTTGCTGTGTTTGGGTGTACACCAGGCCCGGCTGAAAGCATGATTTATGAGAAGCCTCACTTGCTGGTCCCTGACTAACTGCTGAGCAGCTGGCATCAGTCAGGCAACAGCTTGCACAATGCAACCCCATAAACTGCATCTCATCCTCGATGCAACAACACAAAAACATGTTACACTTATGGAGCAACTTGGCTGCTGATCGTGTTTCACTGCAGGTCTTCTTTGGTTTACGCTGTTTACATGCACATGCACTGCCTTGACAGTTGGGAGAATAAATTGTAATCCTTGAGAATTTAATGAAATCAAAGCTCATACTTGATACCATCTATGGTTAAAGAGTTTTTCTGTTCAAGCCATTTTGTGTTTTTTCATCTCGTAACAGCCCCAGTACATGGCAGTTAATACAGATAGTGGCAGAGCGTGCCGTTCCCACACTGGATTTGGATTGTTAAACCTGCCTAAGTGTGAGGGATTCACAGGAGAGCATGCAGAATGTGATCCAGCTCACTGCTATCACTAACTGTCTTCACACTGTGTCAGGGCTGTAATAAGTGGCTGCTAACTGAACATTCGCTACTGCTGCTAACTCACATCAAAGGTGTTCAACTGGGAAAAAAAAAAAAAAAAAGCAGGGTATGTTTGGTTGAGAAGCAGCCACAGTATATTTTCACATATTCAGAAATGCTACTTTCAGTATGTAAACTTCACATCCTGGTTTCAGAAATCTGGATAAACCCCTTATCCTAGTTTTGAGCAACCAAGTTAGTCGGAGTCAACCAGCTGCACAGGCTTCAGACAAATCACGTCAACGGAAACACAAACTATCTGTAGAACTTCCTCCTGGTATGCGACTTTTATGAAGTGGCTCGTAGCTTTGTTTACCATCTCAGACACAAGAGGCAGCCACGTTTCCAAACTGGTTAGTTACAAAGCAATATGACCCGCAACGGCCTAGTTTGTACGACAGCAGCTTCGTGTTCTCAACATCACAGGTAACAAACAGTAACCTGCATGCTAGCATTTAACATGTATGCATGAATAGAAATAACCAGATCCTGAAAATGGTCAGAGCTAGGATAAGGCACATAAACACAATCACTGAGCAGCAGCAGTAAGCTGATAGAGGAGCTGCAGGTAAGAGGCTGCATGCTTCCAGCTCCTCAGCACCGAGGATCAGATTGCAAGTTACTGACTGCAAGGCTGACTGCTCTGTTCACAGATGCTAGTTCTCCTCCATATCTGACAAAGTAGCTAGTCACCAAGCGTGCCCCTGAACTGAGGATGCAAATTTTAAATCATGTTCTGCAGCGTAATGTCAATAATCTATGACTCATGACATGAACAAACTACAGAGGACACATTTCCATATGCTGATGAAGCTATTTTGAACCACAAGCACGTGACATTTGCTGCAAAAGTAGCATTAGGTGTTTGGTAACAGAGAGCAGTAAACTAGTAAACTCAACTTGAAAATGTGAGCTCTGGGCTCTGGTCATTAACTGTCACAAAAAACTCTGTCATAGTGGCTTGTTGCAAAGTTAAACTCCCACAATGCTCTCTGCTTGCTAAGATGAACCGACTGAACTCTTGAGTGAAATCTGAGCCTCCTCAGCTTGCTACAGTCAGAAACAGTAAAAGGCACTACAGCTAATCTACAACACGTTTTCTGACCTGCAGGTACTTCATCTGTTGCCTTATTGGTTCATATATGTTTTAATTGGACAAAATATTAACAGCAAATAATCAGTTAACAATTAAGCCATGCCTGCCCCAAACCCAACAGTACAGACATTTTAAGGATTATAACTCTAACATCCACAACAGCCGCATCACTGGTAAACACTGCAAATGTGCCCATTCTAATCAATTCTGTACCTTGTTATAATATAAACTAGCATAACACATTAAAACCAGATTGCTTGAATAACCAAAACTGCATTTAAAGAGCAGACGCACAGACCACTAATGTACTTATTGTCATTAGTCTACAAACAGCTTTCGGGCTTTCATTTGGGAGTTAATACGGGCTTGTTATGACAGGATGCGTTTTATTGAGAGAGACATTAGCCTGCAAAGTTACATCTGAGGATGAATGCTGGCATTAACGTTGGCTGCGGATGACGGGGCAAAAAGATTCCAGCGGTAACAGCGGCGGAGAGGAGGGCCGCATAAATGGATGGGTTTAGAATTTCAAGAAGTCTGTGTTCTCCTTCAAGACATTTCATGATTCAACCCAGTGTTATGGTTTAAATAATTGATTGCAGAACTATTACTCCGGTCTATGATAATGCATGCTTTTGAACACTCATAATTCCTCTGAAAATGACACTAAAACCTCCAAACCCACCCTTTTTTTTTTTTTTTCGTAATAACAGATGAGGAGGGAACTACTACTCACGGCTCAATGCTGACTGGGGTGGCGTCGGTCATGGGAGGCAAAACCGGCGGTGTGATGTCGCAGCTGTCTGGAGGGGCAGCAACACAAAATGTACTTTATCGTAAAGTCGCTGTCATAACCACAGGAGTTATAGTTTAATGTAAGGGACAAGAAGTAAAACAACGCTGTTCCGTAGGTTTAAAAATACACAAACGATTCAAACATTGAGATGGCAAAAATATCACTTACAGACGTTCGTGTACTCTGATACAGGGTTGTTTACAGGAAGTTATGACCAGATGTGTACAAAGGCTAGTGTTTGAATTTCTACAGCTTAGATGTACTGTGGATAAGTCAGTGAGTTCTTGCGAGTTATGTTTTTACTTACTGGAACGCAACAGGCTGCGGGTGGCCGACTTGGGTGTCGCTGGAGGCGGCAGGCCCGGGCCGCCGGCTGCAGCAGCTGCAGCAGATGACAGGAAAGTGGAGAAGTAAAGGCCTGAGCCTTCACGAACAGGGCTGAGGATGGGAGGCGGCGTGTAGGGGGGCATGGTGATGGGGTTGTCGGCGAGCCGTACGGGGGAGCGTAGGTGGCTTTGGTAGGGCGTGATGCTGGAGTAGACGGGCGGGGCGATGAATAAACCGGGTTTGGGCGGCGGGATGAAGAGAGGCTCGGGACGGGGACGACGTTTGGACTTTTTGCCATCGTCGTCTTTTTCCCCCTCGGCGCCGTCATTCTGGGGAGGAAAGGTAAATTTATCACTCAGAGAAATTATTTCTAACTGTGAGGACTAATAAGAAGACTTATATAGTTGGTTTACTGTGCATTTTTTCAGAAAAATCCTAGAGAGAGCATGAACAAGGCACCCCAACCATCAACTGTATGGTACATAATGTACAGTATGGAAGGGCTAAACCCTGCTAATCTGCCTGATCTGGGACAGGGCAACCAGTTCCCCAAATCCCCCCTCCTAATCAAACAGGGAAAGGGAGAAAAGTGTGCAGGAGAGGAATGGGGGCAGGGAAGAGCAAAGTGGGGGGAAGGGAGGCAGTGTTGGTGGGGCACGAATTCAAGGATTTATAGCTGGATTTAAACGGACAGAAAACACTGAGTGATCAGGATGAGACTACTACCTCAGGTCTTTGCAACTTCTCTTTGACAATTTGCTGAATTATTTCCGTAAATGAAAATCAACCATAGTTTAAAAAGTGCAAAGCATGAATATGAGCCCACCTGCTCCGAGCTCTCCGACAAAGAGTTCCTGAGCGAGCGCCTGCGAGTGACGATGACCGAGGGCTTGTGGTCGGCGCGGCCGAGGTCCTGGGGGTTCGAAGGCCTGGGGGGCCAGGTGGACGCCAGGGCGGCTTCGTCTCTGTCAGGGGACGAGGGCTCCTGCCTCCGGACTGGAACAGACACGGGGATGACGAGTGGAAGAAGAGTGTCGTCTCGAGGCCGCTTCATGCCCTCTGGTTCGGTGGGACTCCACGGCCGGTGTGGCTCCTGATAAAGACGGCAGATCAGTTGTTGAAATGCTGCTAATAAACAAATGTCTCCCCAACATAGAACATGTGAGATCAGATAAAGAAATATATGCAAATCTTTGCACAGTAAACAAAATGCACGAACTCCGAATTTTCGCATACTTGAGGGTAAAAGCATCATTTGACTTTGAATTTTTAAGGTAGTCAGATAAACTTGTAGGATCTTAATCTCAGTATTCAAATCACTCATCTCAATTCAAAACTTTTATCTTATTTCTCTACTGCTGCTCAACATCTGTTATTTCAGATGTGCTATAGAAATAACAGTGATGTGACCCCTTAAGCAAGACTAGTGTGGCATTTAAAGTATAATTACAAGCAAAAATCCAGCAGGACAGCTCCTTGTTGTAACACATGGAACTGCAGCTTACACATTCATCACACTTTCAGGTGACACATTTTCAAATGCAGCACCTAAACAAACAAAAAAAAATCAACCGGTATAAATGACACAGTGCACTAAGCAACATGTGTAATAAAGAATATCACCTCCAAATTACTGTAAGTAATCGTCGCTTAGCTTTCCGGCTCAACACACCGCAGCAAATACATCTTAAGCTCAAATGTAATTGGGTGGCTGGTGCTTCACCTGAGCGGGCTGCCAAACTGTAATGAGTACAGTAAAGTGGGATCACGCAAAAGACACAATGCCAATACTGGAGGGAAGCGTTAACAGATACATCAATACTATTAAGGCTGTGATTAGCGACTTAACTAACAGTTCTTCTCATAGTTGATTAATCCGGAGATTGTTTTCTTGCTTAATCAATTAGTTGTCTGGTCTATCAAAGGTCAAAAAAATTCCCTGAAAAATCTCAATCAGTGTTCCCTAAAGGCCAAGATGAGGTCCTCAGATGTCTTGGTTTGTCCACAATCCAAACATATTCAGCTTACTGTCATAGAAGAGTAATGAAACCAGAGAACATTCCCATTTAAAGGCTGGAATCAAAGAATCTGGAGTTAAAAAATAAATAAATAAACCACTCAAACTAGTTAATCACAACGGTTCATTTAACGGTTGACAACTTCTTGATTAATGACTGCAGCTACGGCTTGAGATGTATTCCTCAAATCCAAAACAGAAACTGAACTGCTGTGAAAATATTCCTACCGGATGAAACAGAAGACAAACAGATATTGAGTGTGCCTCTCCCAAACAAGTATTTTGCATGACTGCACCTTGATATTGCAACTGCTAGGTGCAGCACATGAGTGACACACTTTATGTGCATGCCAAAAGACGCCGTCCCCAAAAAGCATTCTTCACATTTTTTTTTTCTTTAGGAAACCATAATGAGTGGGCACGAGCAGGCTGTGTGCTTTAGACCAACTGTGGAGCAACTCAGCTGAAGCCTTCTGAGCCACCACATCACAGGAGAGTGGAAGGCAGATGCATACTGTCTCTGCACGCTGCATCTTCATGGGCAGAGAGGCATGCGGCAGTGCGGCTACGCTGGATGGATCCGTGCTCATTATTTGCTGGTGGAAAACTCGAGCCCTTACACCAGAGCGGTGGAGAGATATTCTGCTGAGCACTGCAGGCAGGGGAGGGGGGGGTAGGGCAGGTTGAGGCCAGGCTGGAGTTTCTCTCCTTTGATGGAAGGGGGGGGGGGGGGGGGGGGGTGGTGGTGTGCAGGCATGTAACCAAACACAGTGTCTGTATGATCAGCTACCCCTGAGGCAAATTCAGGGCACAGCCGCGCTGAACTAGAGACTGACTGACTCAGTGCTGTTTGGCAACAGGACTTGTTGCACAATCAAGAAGTTCAGCACATAAACACAGATAAGCGCATGACATCACAGGGTAAAGTCAGGGGAATTTATCGGGTTTAAAACATGTTGCGAGAGCTTAAAAGTCACACGTGAAGCTGTTATTAAAGAATGTGACAATATTCATAAAGTTTTTTTTCCCCCCACAAGGCAGAGCCGAGCAGCCCAGTTCTGCGGTGCACACTCCACTGGGCGCTGCTTACACCCAGCATCTCTTCCAGCAACCCGTTAAACACAAACAACACAAGTTTTGGCACAGTTTTCCTGGCAGTCACATTAAACCGTTTGTTCCAGTTCCCACTCTTGTTCAGGGAGTTTTAGTCCCAATGCAATTATACCCCGGGATAACACTAGAAAAATAGATTCTGAGCTCTCGGTGAAATATCTGCAATTAAAGCCTTCAGCTTGTAGCGACGAGTTTAGATTTGAACTGCGGCGCAATCGCAGGGATTCGGAACATTCAGTCCTTTCCTATTAAAGGTTATTTCTGTGGTTCTTGCGCTTGATAGGAAACAGCTGAGAAACAGATGAGTGAGCGGAACAGCGAGGGAAACAGAAAGGCACAGAAAGGGAAGGAAGAGGGTAAGAGAAAGTAAAAAGAAGGCAGCTGAAGAGTGAAGAATGGCCGCACATTTAGATATCTTCTACAAATTAAACCATGTATTTACCTTGCTAACGTGTGATGGCAGAAACTCCCTGGACGAGGCCTCGTGAGCGAGCGTCTCCAGGTTGACCTCCTGGGAAACCCGGCGTTTTCTGCGTGTACTTTGGATGACACCTGTTGGGGCTGCCTGGATGTCGCGGGCCCCGTTTTGAGACCCCTGTGGCCCCGGCGCCGGCTCATCCGAGGAGACGGAGAGAAAAGGGTTGTCGGACGGCGCGCCGCCTTCCTTGGAGAGCCGTCGGGATCTCCGGAGCTGGGACTGAGACTGGAGCTGCGTCTGAGGTTGCGACTGGGACAGGGGCTCGGACTGCAGAGGGGGCGGCAGCGGATCCGACGGCTGCTGGGGTTCTGGGGTGATGTCCTGGATGATTGGCTCCTGGATCTTTGGGGGAGCTGGAGCAGAGGACTCCTGGGAGTGTACGACGACAGGCTGTGGATGTGGGTGTGCATTTTGTGCGCCAGGGTAATAGTCAAGCACATGGGGGTTTTGTTGTTGCAACTGCTGATGTTGCATTTGCTGCTGAATTTGGAGCTGTTGCTGCTGTTGTTGCTGTTGCTGTATCTTTTGTTGCTGCTGCTCATGCTGTATTTGTTGCTGCTGCTGCTGCTGCTGCTGTAGCTGTTGCTGCACATGCTGTTGATGCTGAATGATTTGTTGTTGCTGAATTTGTTGTTGGTGCTGCTGTTGAATTTGCTGCTGGATTATATGATGTTGTTGCTGGCGCTGTATTTGTTCTTGTTTCTGCAGCTGCTGTAAGTGATGTGGGGGTTTGGCGTTGGGTGCCGAGTAGTTTGGTGGGTTAGGTAGCGTTGTCCTGTTCCCTTGGAAGGCCTGGTAGTAGGCTGGCAGGTGCTGCTTGGGCTGACCGAAGGCCAACTGGAAGGGCTGCAAGACTGAGCTTCCTCCCTGGTGGGATGAACTCTGCTGTTGGGTGTTCAGCACCCCTGGTTTCAGAGTCTCCTGAAAGGCCTGGGACTGCTGCTGCTGCTCCCACTCCATGCCCCGAGACTTTGCAGCATCCCTGTACGCTTCTACTGTAGGTTTGTCTGCTGCTCTGTTAGAGGGCTGTTGATGTGGCTGTAAACCAGAAGGCTCGTGCAATGACTTAACAAATGCGTTCTGGCTCCGTGAGTCTGTTATGTTAACTCCTCCGATATAATTTGTAAAGTTCTGCCCCCAGTTAGACATGGTGGCCCAAGTGGCAGCTCTCTGCTGCTGGGACACTGACGGCTGCTGCTGACTGGGCTCCTGGTGAGCCCACTTCATGGGCACAGTCTGTTGATAATGGCCTCTGCTCTGGTCACCCTTGTCCGGGCTGAAGATGACAGAGTTGAGGTACATGTGAGGACCCTCTGGATTGGACGTCACAGTACTTGCAGCCTCGCTCTGTCTGGGGTCTGAGGCGGTACCACTTGGGACATAGTAGGATCCTTCCGGGTGCTGAGAAGTCTCCTTCATTGCTACACTTTGATCGTTGAAAAACGTGATGCGCTTGCCTGTTCTTTTGTTGCTTGGTTTCTGCTGGGCTGGTACACTCATGACGGGCATGAAGACGCCGAGGCAGAGAACTATTTTCAGTCAACACTCCACTGGATGCCCCTTAAGTCAATCCATCCAAAATGAGAGCAATAAATATGCTTGTGTATACCCCGCTATAGGGTATGTACAGTGAAATAAAGCTGCAACACTACGCTGACATCAGAGTGAGCAGAAGCCAGGTCAACCAAGATAATCCTCTATCCCCTCTGATGTTCTTCGTGATCCACTCAGGTTGCCAGACGGGGGTGAACAGATCTGAAGAAGTCTGCGTGTTTTTCTCATTTACCGGCAACACCCTGTATGGAGAGAATGAGACACAGGTCAAGCATTGAGCCACCAAACTAAAGGGGTCCCCACAGAGGGGGGTCTCATTAGCATCCCTGCCTCAGCCATGTAAAAACCTGCTGTTTGCTTTTTCAACAATAGACCTCCGCTGAAAGGTATCGGGTGTGAGAATGGAGCAGGGGAGGGGCAGGTCTATTTGCTAAGCTCACATGACACAGGGATAATGACCTGCATGCAGGCCACCACGTATAAGACCAGACCTGCATAAACTACTGGAGCCATAGGAAGGTAGTTGATAGAGATGGCAGAATCAATAATTCCTGGAAATGTTATTACAAGGTTACTACTGCACCGGGCGCAAACATGCACTGGAAAAACTGCTCATGGTCGACCGGTTCGCCTACAGTTTCATCACCTTCATCAAGCCTCTCATAGCTCGCCTGACCTGCGACAGAAAGGAAGCTCCTTTTCCCGCCACACTACGGTAACAGACGGCAGGCTGAACGTGAGAGATACCATTCTTTTCTCACAACTGCGTGACTCATCGCTAGTGAAAAGTGTTAACCCGTGCCCTTTGAACCAGCTCTGTGGAATCAAAACGGAAGGGCAACTGAAAGTGAGCAAACATGAGTCACGATGAAACAATCCATGCATGAGGGGTGTTAAGAAAGAATAAAAAAAAAAAAAAGAGCGAGAGAGCAGGGAAACAGGCAAGATGGCCCAGCAGGTTTTGGTAGCTTATAGGAGATCTTGGCAATTACCATGGCAACTCATTATGATTATCAAAAATATTATGTGATGGCCAGGTTTCGGAACAGATTTCTGACACGGTGCAGCCTGCCAAATTTTCGAGATGCACACAGATCCTGACTGTTTCTGTTAAATTTTCAATCCTTGCTCCATCTGTGTAAATGTAAAAAATCTTGTCTCTCTTGTGCTCAACCTAAACAGGAAAGCGTCGCCACTCTCTAACCCTGCCGGGAGAATTATCACAACCAAAGCACCGGGCTGCTGCAGGACTCTTCTTGTTGCACAAAGCAATCTGAGGAGATGATTACATAAATGAGCACAAGAATCTCTGCAACATGGACTTGGCAAAGACCATCTCTGTCAACTTAAGAAGCGACTGACAATTGTCACCCTTTGCTCTGGTGGCCTGGTAAAACACACGCTTCCTAAAATAGCCAGCTGCAGCTGTTCAGATCCTGTACTGGCTCAGGGGCACCACTGACAGAGGAAAGTGAATGACCATGCTATGTGGCTAGCAAACAGCGTGTTGTCATGTGATGTTGCACACGCCTGCAGACATGCTGCCGAACATCCCTCTTTGAAAAGCTGCACATACATAAGTCACATATTTCCCTTTGCAGGATCTGGAGAAAGAACGTAACACAAGGGCGACCATGCTGTGTGTCTGGGCTTTAAGAGGGCGCACACTCCATCCGAGGTGAGGGATCATCATGACGCATCACAAGTGCAACCTTACACAAGCCCGGGGTTTAGCCTAATAAACAAACTGACACGTCAAATTGGCTTAAAAAATAAATGTCAAGCACTATTAGCCACCCCTAATCCATCGCCATTTCCTAATTTAAATCAGCCCATGAGGCGGCAGCAGCTACAGCAGCAGCAGCAGCAATACGCGGCCTTGCACCGTGCAAGAGACGACAAAAAAAAACACAAAAATCAAGAAAATGTGAGCAGACTCAACATGTTCTCTTACACGACAGGACTCTTCCTGGACTCCCTCCCTCCGCATCACTTTCTACGGGCTCGGCCAGCTCAGCGCTATTTACGAGAAGCCCTTTGTTGCAGAAGACGGATTATCCAGTCCACTAATGCCGCGTCCCACTGCAACGCAACCGAAGCCACAATGCAGCCCGTGGCACCGAAAAAAAAACACAAATAAAAAACAGCTGACAAACAAGACGCACAAATCGATCCAACTTGTCAAACGGTCGATACGTCACGTTTCTCTCCGTGCAATCCGCTCTGATTGACACGCATCCTCTTTTTTTTTTTTTTTTTTCCGTGAGTCCGGTGCGCGCCCAGTGCGCCTCGGCGAGGTAAACAAAACTTTGTCAGCGAGCTGCGGCCACAATAACGCGCAGTGTCGAGCGCAGCAGCGGCGACGACGACGACGACAACAACAACGCCACAGTCATCGACACGTTCCCCTCCGTGCGCCCCGATACTCACTGTGCTCGTCATGAAAGCTGCTACTAAACGGCAGCTCAGCCCCGCAGGATGGGCACACTCGCGGCTCTGTGCGGCCAAGCAGGGCCGCGCACAATACAGCCCCGCGACGGTGATGGTGATGATGACTGCATACATCCCCGGGCTTGACTCATGCTACGCTGCTGACCTCACTCGCTGCTACTTTTTTTTAATTCCTCTCTCTCTCTCTTCTCTGTCTACCCCCCACCTTTTCCTGCTACAAAGTCAAAAGGGGGTCGCTGCGTAAACAAGAGTCCTTCCCGGTAGGAAACCCTTGGCGCTAATCTGCAGGAACACATGCGCACCGCCGCCGCTGTCTGTTGCACATGATTGCACTGTGATTGCACAAAAAAA